GATGAGACGTAAAATGGAGGTCCTGACTTTCTGCGGTCATAAAATTCCCAGGGCATTTCTTGTAAAGAGTAGGGGTGTCAAATTTCCCTTTGGCCCTTACCAATCATGGCCTCCTAATAATCCCCCTCTATGAATTGGCTTCATTACTCTATCCCCCCCACTGATAGATGATGTGTGGTGAGCGTTCTGGTGCACTATGGCTGCCGTTGCATCATCCAGGTGAATGCTGGTGGTGGTGGAGGGGAGTCCCCATTACCTGTAAAGTGCTTTGAGTGGAGTGTCCAGAAAAGTGCTATATAAGTGTAAGCAATTATTATAATTATTATTAAATTCTCACCAATTTAAAATTTTAGTTTAGACTAGTCAACTAATTTAAACTTATGTAATTGTCGTATAAATACAGTTAAAAAACAAGATTAAGTTTAACACGTGAATTATTAACTGGTCAGCAAATCCCACATTAAAACTACAAAAAATACAGAAATAATAATAAACACTTCTCTGTTTTAAAAGAGTAGGACTAAAATTGTATCAAAGTTTACCAATGGTACTCCAGTGTATGATTTCTACTGGCATTTAGTCTTACTTACACTTGTATTGTTTCTACAGTTCATATGACTGTAGTATATCTATCCACTTTAGAATACCACTGTAGCAAGAAAAAAAAAGTGTTTTCTTTATAACCTCAGTTCAGGAGAGACCGTATGATTTTGCTTTGCACAGTAAAAAATGATGTTGGTCGCTGTTATTTTATCTTATTTTTAGTTTATTGTTTAGTTGACTGAAGAGCTGATTTTATGCTTGTGACTTCCTAGTGAAACACTTTGCCATCCCAATTAAGTGTGAATTTACTGGAAGCACCTAAGGCTTGCAGATTTTTATATAAATATATTCACTCTAATGTAGCCTGTTACAGTTTTACAATTGTGTTCTGAAACTATATTGCCAAAGAAATGATAGCAATTCAGAGCTATTGTACTGGAACCCTATAATCCCTGCGGAGCTTTACAATCCAGTACAGAACAGCTCTTCAAAACATGGAACGAAAATATACCGTAGTATTGAATAGTAGAAACAAATGTATTTTATTTAGCTAAACTGTGTAATCTTATCTTTTTGCTTCCATTTATTCTGAGAATTATTTTTGTTTTTAACTTAGTATGTGAATATCCCATTTTAAATGTAAATTATACTGTTATGAATAGCAATAAAACATAATTTTGCAGTATATTTTAATACTTCTTAAAAGTACATACTGTACATAAATTCTTAAAGGAAGGAAAACATACCATTTGTGTAGCATGTTCTCAGTGTAAAATATAAACAGCAGAAAAGAAGAGATATCACCTACAGAACAGAAAGAAAATGCACTGCACATCAACACAGTACTTCAGAGCCTGTGATGACAAACTTGTGATGATAAGCTTAGCCAGTTAATGGACTCAATATAGCACTTCACTAGAGAATATAGTTCATTTAACTAAAGTTTATTTATGTGGTTCAATTTGCAAAAGAATCAAATTCAAACTCATACAGACTCCAAGAAACAAACACCAGTGTTATCTATACAAAGGGATAGATAATATGTACATAGTTTAACACATTATTTAATACCATTACTTTACTGTCCTTATCACAAGCATTTCAAAGTTTTGTGCCTATCCTGAGTATTGCGCCTACATTGTTAAGAATTTCCTTTACGATTCCTTAATACTTTTTTGGTCCTTTGGCCACCAGTTAGGTACAGAAGCCTTCAACGTGAGTCTGACACCCTCTGAGGACTGGAGGATAAGCTGTTCGTTAGCATGAGCAAGGCGGATCAGCGCCAGACCCAGGGATCCTAAGCCGGCACGGTATTTCCCCGCTGACTTCCCTGACGCAGTACAGATGTCCTTCTCGGGCTCTTGGACAGGGCCAGACAGACGCACAGGCATCAGGCGCTTGCGGATGACGCCAGTGTGGTGAGTCCTGGCTGTCAGCTCCTGACCAATGTAACAGCCTTTGGTGAAACTGACCCCATTCATGTAGACCAGGTTGGACTCCAGGGGGAGAGCCACCCCCAGAGGAAGGTCCTCCACACCCTCAGAGAGCCCTGAAAAGAAGCAGCACACACACAGGTGAGGAGAAGGCAGTAGCTCACCATGAGAAGACACCAATTTCCTACATATTAGCTGAAAACCTGCAGCAAATACCATACTCATTTTACATTAGACTACTCATTATCACAATAGTTCTGTCCTTACCAATTGTGTATCGGTATCTATGGTAGTCATCAATGTCCCCCTGCTGGCTCTGTGGTATGAGTTCCTGAGGATTCACTTGCTTGTCCACAACCAGCCTCCAGCCCATCACTGCCACACGAGGGTCTGCTTCCCACACCCGCACGCTAGTTGAACATGTGAGCTCCAAGTTGGCAGTCTTGCTGTCCTCCTCTCCTCCCTGGGGCATTACTGCCCACAGCGACAGGTCTGAACAGGGCGCAACAGTTACCTTCCGACGGATTTTATAGACCTTCAGGTGTTTTTGAAGGGAGTCTGTCACTGTGCTGTCACATTCCAAGAGTACGCTGCATTCACCCTCTTCGTTATTTGTCAAGCTTCAATTAAAAAAGGAGGTAGGGGGTGAGAAGATTTAAACCAAGTCAAAACTATGAAATAACTTTCACAAATGTAACGCAAAGATAATGAATGAAATAAGTACTGTAAAGGTTTGCATTTTCTCGTTCTACTTTGCTGCCAACGTTATCTTAGAAGACAGGACTAAACTCACTAATCTCTAGTGCACAGGCATGTGCGCAATAACCCACACGCCCACAATTTACACGATGTTTAAGATACAATTTTGCTCGTTGCTGCAATTATACTGTTCACTGCAAAATATACTAAAGGGAAGTCAATTGGCTTTTAATGTCGAGATAATTTTCCACTTTGCTTCGATAAACAGCATGTTTCTCTCCTCCTCCAAACTGTATTACTCCCATATATAACTGCCTTTGACAGCTAAACTCAACCTTTAACGGTATGCGTTACTTACTGCAAAAATATGCACTGTCACGATACTGTCCAACAATACTGAACAACAACAACCTTAATAAAGGCCAGCGTGAGAAACGTTACTAAATTGAAAACGCAAGGTACATTATACCTGTATATAATGACATCAAACAGCGTCCTCCCTTGAACGTTCAGCATGTGTGCGTAGAGAGCTCTCTGCTCACCTTTAACCGCCAGGCGCTCGATGTCATTGGTAATAAGACCCTGTAGAAAAATTCTGGTGTCCTTTCCTTGAAGTTTCAACAAAGTCCTGTGGGTCAGATTGTACAGGATAAACTTGCTCGATCCTGCTTTGTCATGCAATTGCCTGCAATTTCTCTTAGCATCTGTAATGATTTGGCAGGACCGGGCTCTGCCTGTCATTGCATGAGTGGAGTTCAACCTGAACACAGTTCTATACACCGCCGTCCCAACGATGCCATGAAACACACAAGAGTTATACATTATTATATTTTAAGGTGCTAAGACAACAGATAAAAATCAGCGTTTAAGAAAAACAAGTTTTCTTTTCTCCAAGGAGAATCTTCCATAACTAACTTTTCAAAACTGAAGCCATTTTAAATCCCAGAAGTCTTTGCGCGCTATGAAAAAGCCGCAGAATGAGACATGTCTCCTCGTTTGCTGTTTTTAAAGCCTTGGCTCTTTCTGCTATATTTCCATCTAGTGGTCTAAAAGTGTAAAGGCTGCGAGAATTTTGAAGTAATTATTTTGGAAACAAACTTAAACAAAGTGGACATTAAAAAAGCTATGAATTGTAATTCTCTCACTTGTCTGTTTATATAAAAATAGTTTTTATGTTTGATGACAATTTTCAATGAAACAATAACAAGAACTAATGACCCAGACAACAGTGGGCATTTTATTCACTCTGGTATATAAAAAATACCAAATCAGACATTTCTTTAAAAAATAAAATATCCTTTAAATTTACTCATGGTCAAAATGCATTATAATTTTAATTTTAAGGTGTGTGATTACTAAAATAAAACATTTCAGTTCTGCTGTTGATATGAACAATTCATGTGTATACTTGAATTACTAGTAGTAGCAGTGACTTAAACTGAGAAGAACATCCGAATAAATTATGAAAAATGGCTACATTCATTCACAGCCTCACCTTTTCAATTTTGGGGCATTATGAAGGCCCTATTTATCATTACAACTATGCTATTTTTTGTGAAATGAACCTTAATTGATGACAGATTAATACAGCAGTCATGCTTTCAGGCCAAGATATTTAGAATGAGCCACTGGGTTTGGATGCTTTCTATGACCTGTGATCTGAACATGATGGTGTGAGGGGTACTTCAATGTGGAAATAAGGGCACTGTCTCTTACGGCAGGATTCTGATGTTCAGCTGCTGCCTGTCAAGCCTCACATCACCTTTTGTCACTTCAAATACAGTCATAAAATGGTTTGCCCTTATGTGAGAGAAGTGGCAGGTTCTTTTGTATACAGATCAGATTTCTAACTGCTCTGTCCAGTACAGGGTCATGGGGGGTGCCGGAGTCTAACCCGGCAAGCAGGATACATTGAACAGGATGTCAGTCCATCACAGACACACATAGACAAACACAATCAGACCAGTGGCATTGTTTTCAGACGCCAATTAGTATGTCTTTGGACTGTCGGAGGAAACTGGAGATCCCAGAGGAAACCGACACAAACAAAGCGCGAACATACAAACTACTAGCAGATATCACCCAATGTCCATAAATGAAACCAATGCTACAAGGCAGCAATGCTAATCACTGCACCTCTGTGCTGCCTATGCTTTTCATTACAACCAAAAAAATGTGTTACAGACCATTCCAGGAGATGTCATTAATTTGTTATGTGCTGAAATTGTACTGTAATTAATTCTGATTTTTGTGATCATTTTTAATCCATCTCTTAGGCTAGTTGAATTGAGAAATGACAGTCTGGCCATGATGATGAGGCAGATGGATTCCCTTAAATCAGGCAAAGGTGGTGGAAGAACATTTCAGGAAAGAATGCTAGAAAGGAAGGTCTGATGTCTTTGTATTTAAACTCTAGAGAGATGATTTTCAAATATTGTCATTTTGTCCTCACCAAATGTCTGTTATGAGCTTCATTGTGCTTTTGATCTTCATTAATTAGGTGTGGTAATTTTTACCTTGTATTCCATTTTTGATTACTTGAGACATACAAAGAGTATTTTTTAATAATCCAGACCATAGTCTAGGGCTTAGCAACTTAGACCAGAATTGGTTCTTTCCAACTACTGGAGGAATCTATTAAACACAATGTTGTAGAGAATTATAACAGCAATTGTAGTACAAATCTTCACACATTCTTAAAATAAGTCAGTTATTCGGGAGGTTGTATAATAAATCATAACATAGCAACTAAGGCACAAAACAGATACCCTTCCACTGTTTCAAATCTAATTAGAAAAAAAAAACAGTGCCGCTTTGATTCATAGGCTAGCTGACTTAACTAGCTGACTGTAATGGTATTTGCTTCATCCTTATAACACATTGAATGAGAACACTTGATGAACAGAAGAAAGCTTGGCATCTAGTTTCCTCATCAATTGACTCTTTCTATTTTGCAACACTCATTGAAGGCTATTACATTCTTAAGTAATTTTCTTGTTTTTTTTTTACATTTTTATGGTTCTGTAATTTGTGGTGTCTGTACTTTATAAATCTTTGACTAAAAAGGTTTGTGTTTTAAACGTTTCTCAATATTTCGCCAAACAAGAAATTGATTAAACGGTGAAAGAGAAGGAGTAGAAGAGGTTTAAATGAAAGAGCACAGGTTGAGAGAAATCTCCCAGACATTTCTGGTTTAAGTCTGAGCTGTGTTATTAGCTGAGTGTGATTGGAAACCCCCATATCTTGCTTGCGGTGAGTGGAAATTTTGGTTAGGTGTTTTTTAGTTTTGCACTCGCCAGTGACCTCTGTGATCAGCACCAGTGAGCTTAAGTTATCGTCCCCGAGAGCCACTTCAGTCTTCTGATTGACACTAACTTTTTCTTTTAAGGCACGGATTCAGTGTGAGAAATGGCAGCTGTGAAGTATATACTGTATGAAGTGTATTCACAGTGTATTTTCAAATACAATGTCCATGTTCCTTATAACATCTTTGCAAGTAAAAAGGTTTATGAATATGTGTGTGAATAAGAAATGTTGAAGAAAAAAAAACATAAAAATATGAAAAGAGAAAGAACAAGACATGGCATGGCTGCAGAGGAAACCGCAATATTGCTAAAGAATGGCTGAAATATGGGTGTTGTTGTGGAAGGGCAGAGCAATTTGTGACAATTGATCTGTTAGTAATTAAAGATATCCCAGAGGAACAGGTTGTCCTGAAATACACAGATGTTTCTTGAACCTTGGAATAGCAAAAGCCAGAGGCAATGTGTCAGTAAGCATTTGCATGCCTTTAAGAACATGACATGAACCACTTACTGTATTCTCCAACTTTCCAAATGATTTTCTTTTAAACTAATTTCAAGCAGCTTCATTAATATAAATCATTTTAAACAATGCAGAAAAGAAGGATCAGGGCTTTCAATTAATCTTGGAATCAAAAGCAGTTTTTAATTGTTTAATCCTGTCCATTTTTATAGCTCATGGCACCCTGTGTTCAAGCAAACATCTGCTCTAAAGCTCTACCAGTCCATTAATATAATCCTCTTCTAAAACGTTCTCTTTTTTGCCTGTGCAATTTATTTACATTGAAGGAAACAAATAAAAATATTTTTTGTGAATAATATGAAATTGCATTTATACAGCATGTTTAATATTGAAGGATTATACATATACTGTACATACTAATAGGACCTAGTGCCACTCCCCCGTGCACAGATCAAGTAGAGAAGTGAGAAACTATTTCAACAAGTGAATTCAGGTGGAAATATAGTTAATTTAAATTGTTCAAGCCAAGAGTGTGGTAGAACCACTACCTTTACAGACAGTGCTGTGGATTTTTAAGGGACTAATTAGTCAGGAACTTGGTTGCAAATCCCTTCCAAAGAACAGTACCTCATGCAATAGTGTCCCTGGTTAGTATCATGGGACACTGGTTTGGTCCTGAGAGAAGAGGAGAGCCATGTACCAATGCACCAACAGCACGCAAAGCATCAACTTAGCTTTTGTTAGAGAGCTCCCATCTTAACACTGACCAGGCCATACGTATTTACAGAGGTGATCAGGTTACAAAATTGTAACACTACTGTCCAGAAATTAGTCAGACTTCAAATATACCATGGCTATTACATGTCCCCAAGGGGGGCTTTTAAAATCAATACTTTTGCTATTTCTGTTGGTAAAAATATTTGAGATCTAGTGTTTGTTACATATCCAGGGATTCCGATATTTACATGGCTGATGCAATTGGATTATTAACATATAAAAAATACGAATGATTCAACCATTACTGTTTTCATTTTCACCTTGATTTGTGTTTTGCTTTGAACTATGTCATGGGAGGCTACAAATGCAAAATAATGCTGTCATTTCTCTTTTGCTATATTTTATATTAAACATGCTTTTCCATGGTTAACCTTCATAACATCCAGGAATGCTACAGAATGGTTTAAGCAGTTTAAAATTGGGACAATTAATCTTCTTTGAACATGTATATATACTGATGGAAAAAAGAAATGCAACACCTCCTCCTCCACACTCTGGCCCTCCGAGTCAGGTGTGATGTCTAGGAGGTGTGAGCAGAGGGCCTCTGACAGGTCGCCTTGCTCTAAGGTCAGCAGCATGGAGCCTCACTGTCCTGTCACTGATGCGGACATTGTGTCTGCTGGCAGTTTCAGCAGCAGTACAGGTGGCAGATCTGATATGATCTCTCAGGTGGAGCAGTCTGATGTGTCGGTCCTGCTCTGGTGTGGTCATCTTGGGCAGTCATCTGTCCTGCCGGTCTGCTGAAACCTTCTCTGCAGTCGGGACATAGTGGAGCGGCTTACTCCATAGTGTCTGGCAACACTGGCACCTGACATGCCTGTCTGCAGCATGCTAATGACCCTCTAACTCATAATTCGAGGCATTAGGGAATGCAAAGAAAACTGACTAAGTGTGACCTTCTTGCAGTGACCTAAGATTTGAATTGTACAAGCTGTATTGCTGGTCAGAGGGCTTAAAACAAATTGACAACTTTTTGTGAAAGTACATAAGCTATAACTATCGTATTCTCATTCCAGAAAATGTTGCGTTTCTTTTTTCCATCAGTATAGATATATTTTACATAGACAAAATAAGATGATTGTACAATAAATAATGTATTTTTCTTATTTTCACCAAATAGAATATCAGATTGATAGAAATTCACTCAGAAATATTTTTTTGAGTAAAATGTCCAACTGTATAAACGAGTACAAATGTTTAGGTAAACACAGTAGCCAAATAAATTAACAATAACATGATGATTTTGAAGAATGTCAGAAATCTGTTGGAAGACACTGGCTTAATATGTATAGTGTAAGCGAGCTACAGTATATAAACACAAATGTATTACTTTTGTGTACAGACAATGTCAGAAGAGGCAAAGGTCAGAAGAGAGCTGCAAAAATAGATATTTTCTGTCCCACATTTTTGCCAATTTATTTGTAATTTATTAAGGTAAAAAGCCAGATTGACTTGTATAGTATGGTGGTTATCACCGTTGGCGCACCTCATAACCTTTGGGTCCTGAACCTTGAACCTTGAATCAAGCTCGTCCTATGTTCATGCCAGTCTTCTTTGGGTGCTCTGGTTTTTTCCAGCCTTCCAAAGGCATGCTGGTTAACTTGCTTGCTATCTCTAAATTGTCTGAATGTGCTTGTGTGTCTCGTGCACCCTCTTCTCTCAGGTTAGGACCCTGCTTGCACTGGAAAGCTGCATGATGCTGCTGGTCTGGTAGATTGCTGAGCAGGAGCAGTGAATAGGGGGCAAACAGGCATCAGGTTGACAGAACAGTTCTGTGCTAGGATTGAGCAGACAGGGTGAATCAGGCAGAATAATTTTCAGTAGGAACCCCAACAACAGAGCACCTAACCATGGGCAGATCAGAGTTTACAGTAAGTTACCTGGAGCTAATGAAATAATTACCTGTTAAGTGGGGGCAGGTGGCTGGGACAGAGATCCTAAACGATTTCTCACGGCACCAGGAGCTGTTTTGACTGGTTACTGTAGAGACTCTGGATTGGCTGGGCATAACAAACTGTACAGTATATAGTGTAGATATCTGGAAAACATTGAACTGTGTATTTTCCTCATCACATACTAGGGAACAGAGCACAGGTTGTCAGATATTTAACAGTGTATTTGAACAGTGATTATCTTAAAACACTTTTTTAATACACTTTATTTAAAGGCAGATTCTGCCATGAAATTTGAGAGCAACTAAACAAAAAAAAAAAACAATACAGACTTTAACATCTTCCTTTATACTGAGATATAAAAATAAAATAAAATTCTTATTTACACATTATTCCTAATTTTACAACAGGGCCTGCATTGTCACAATTGTGACATTGAGTACCTAAAAAATCTAAAATATAAATTTTATATTGAACACAACAGCTATAACAAATGGCTTCATCAAACCCTATGCAAGGTTTTATGTTATTGTGTTGTTATTTCAAGTATTTCCAGAGACAACACTAAATTCAACAATGGCAGTTATACAGTAATTTTACTAGTTCTTAGATTTGCTAACTGACAGCTACCTTATTATTAACACTTTTCTTATTGTTTCCCTTTATGAATGCTATTGTAAAAGGTATTTGTATATTTACAGGCAAACCCAAATACTTACACCAAAAGATAGGCAAGACAATTAAATGCACAAACTGTATAAAGGAATGTAACCTTTGAAACCTCCCTAGTTCCATCTATTTACAACATCCAAACGTCTGATGTTCAATGAATATAGCAATTCATTAGTAAGATCTTTTTATTTTGAAATTTTAGTCACAAAAATAAAAATACTTAGATACTGAAGTCTACAAATGAAATACAAAGAAACAAAGTCCCTTTATTTTAAATTCAAAACCAACCACACTTTTTTTTTCTTTTTATTCATCCTTTTTACTAATTCTAACAAGTTTAACTTCAAGCTACATATTTTTCCTGAAGAAAAAATAAGAAATGGCTTTAACTTTTTTTAACATCCATTAAAGTTCGAAGGTCTGGAAGGAGATTATTGCCTTAATGTTCTTCCTGTAGGTAGCGTTAGGATTTTTAGGTTTTGTGTGGCAGATCTGCTTTGCTTCAAAGGAGATAATTTAGCCACTAGAATGGAGGAGTTTGTCACTGTACAGGTTGGTTGAACTGTCTCACATTAAAGTAAGCAGTTTCTGGGACAGACGCCACAAATTAATGGAAAACAGATTCCTCTAATCCATTCAAAATACCATAGTCTACTGCGGCTTTTTTTCTTTTATGAACAGAGCAACTCTGCAACTCACATTTTCATGTAACCACAGAACTAGACAATCAGATACTCTATTGGTTTAAACAGAATGTATTGATCATACTAGGAATGTGACAATAAATTAACAGATAAAATTAATGGCTTGTCTGATGTGAAAAGTCCTTCCCAATTCATGAATTGATCTTAATTTTGTTAGTAGCCTGGGAGCTACAATTGCTGTGCTTAAACTGATTACATGCAGTAAATATGAGTTGTTTGGGGCCTCATTCTAGTGTTGGCAGGATCAGTGTGGCAAAAGGAGATGTGCATAAAGATATTTTCCATTTATATTCTTTTACTGTTATTTGTTGATGGGAATTTTCCAAAGATTCTGGGACTTACTTACCATATGACAGCTATATATTACAGGTTAGTAGGAGCACTATAATTGTAATTGTACTGAACTGTACAGTGGGAATAGAAGTTGTAAATGTGATATTCAGCCAAGCAAAGTAGTTGTGGTTATTGCAGTGCATATACAATGAGATACAACAATTTATTTAATATATGCATTCCATTTCGGTTCTCTCTAAACACTTAAACACTATTAATCTCCAGTATTTATCTTGTAGACCAGTAACTCATATGCCTGGTTTTGTGCATTTTCATGTTTGGTATGCTTTCTTATTAATCTTAAACTGACTGTACTCTTAAGCATGCTTATTATTTGATTTTCCATTAATTTATTTAGTTTCTGACACTTCAGTACTTTTTGTTTACTAGTAAAAACAAAATGTGTTGAATTAGTAACAAAAACGTACAACTGTGGGACAGAAGCCAAACAGAGGAGCTATCTAGATGAAGTAGTGAGAAGGACTCCACCTCTGAAAATATATTGAAGAGAGGTTTCAAAGGTCAGGACTCCTTTTTCCTTCATACTAATACAAGATGCTGCAGAGAGAGAAGGTGGCCATGTGTTTTCTCATGTTTGTAACACATGAATCTGTAGAAGCCTGGCACAATGTGAGACAACACAAAAGAAAAGCACAATCAGCCTAACTGCAGTCTGCCAGGAGCAGCTGTGGAAGTTGAAGCACTTACTTTATTTAATAAGTTGTGCTATTTCACAGCCCATTCCCACACATACCTCCATAGTGCAAATTATGTAGTAGAAAATTACACATGGACATATCAATTACATATATCATGAAATTGCAAATGTTCACTTTGTATTTTGTAAATTGAATCTCTTCATTTAGTAGCTACAAAGCTCCAAAGATGAAAGCATTTACATTATTTTGATATGAATGATATTGTAAAATATATTTTAATGAAACAGAGCTTTTTAATGCCCAAAATATTATTCCTTATACACATACATTAATATGTTTTTACCACATATGCACTGTACATACCTTGTACATACATATTTATCCCTGTAGTTATTTATACATTTAAAGGTTTACAGTCTGTTGGGTAAATGGAATTCTATTAATGATTTTCTTACACAAAATTGAAAACCAAAAAGAAAGATGCAATTCTATTATTGTTCAAAGAAAGTTATTATTGTTCAGAAAGAAAGTATTGTTTTAATCATTAAGTTTTGTGAAGTTAAAGTATCTTAATTTCAAGGTAAAGTGATTTTAATTTCCTTTGAAGTTGAAATTTAGCACTTTCAAAATAAAAATGTCCTTATTTGAATTTCTGTTTGAGAATCAAGAATTTTAAAACATTGTTATTTTGGTTTTATTTACTGTATAGGCAAAGAAATTGCATCCATCACTCAAAATGTATAAATACACATTGAAGTGAAAATACAAAAGAGAAACATACTGTATTTGCTGATGTTTAAGGCACACTTTGTCAATATATTGATGCACAAGGCAAATTAATCATCCCCATTGCTCATTCTGAACACTTCTGCCTCCAAAAGCATTCCTGAAAGACTTGTATTGTGTACAATGTTCTAACCAAACTTAACGTATACTGTTTTAGAATAAAATGTACTGTTTTGGGTGTATATGAAAGCAGGTAATCTATTTCAAATCTGTAGTACCCAATATTGTGCTGATTCATCAAAAAAGTACAAATATTCCTTATAGAAACTACTGCCATAATCTGTATGTGACAAATACAGCCAATTGTTGAATTTTGATAAATTTCTGCGATATTTCTTAACACATGCGATAGAGTATCAGTGTTTTTAATGTAGGGACTGTTTGATCAAACAGATTGCATTTCTAAGTCTCTGTGTCCACTTGTAACAGTTTCCATTTGTGCAATTATTGAAATAAACAGCGTAATGCCAGGATAGGTACAAGGTGATCTGTCAGTGCAACACTGCCATACTGCAGATCAAAAGGTTATACTTGTTCACAGGGAGTATGTATGTCAACACTGGTGCTAACTTGGTTCTCAGAGCCTCAGTGCCTTTGCCAAATTAATAATCTGTTGTCTTAAAACTCTATAAATTACACTGAAATGTGTTGTATGTAAAAGTGAAAATACTATCAAATGAGCCTTAAGGCAAATGATTAAACAAAAAACATGAAAATGTAATGTTAGGAATTTGTCTTTGACTTACCGATTTGACTGGAGCACAATCATACTTGCAATTGTATTCCTGCTTTTCATGTATTCATTAGAATTTAAATTCAAATTAATGTCTACTTATTTCCATGATCATTTTTTACACAGCAAATTACCTGCCTTTACCACATATAAAACAGTTTGTCGTACAGTAATATGGGAGAGCCATACAAAATGTCTAAAACAAATACTTTTTAATCAGTCTAGAAATTCTGATTACAAATTGGATTGTTTTTTTCTGATTGGCTATTTAATAGATATTTAATAGATATAATAATAGATATTTATTCAATTCAGTGTCACGGGGGACTCAGATCATATTCTGGCAACAACAAGCACAAGGCAGGGCACACTCTGGACAGAATACCAGTCCATTGCAGGGCACACACAAATACAAACACACAAACCACGGCAGGGACAATTTTCACAGAAACCAATTAACCTACCAGTAGGTCTTTGGCTTGAGGGAGGAAACCAGTGTACCCAGAGGAAACCCACACAAACAAAGCGGGAACATACAAACTCCACACAGATAGCAACCCAGGAACTGAACCCAGGGCCCCAGCACTGCAGGGCAGCAATAGTAATCACTGCACCACCATGCTGCCCTAACATAAGCCAGAGGCTCTGACACTAGGTTTGTTATTAGCTGCCTAGGATAATGACAGGTAAGCTAAGTTACTGATCACAAGGGAGGAATATACTAACTCTAATAAAACATCTGTGTTAGGGAGGGCTCGCTGTCTAAGCCATGCTTGCTGTATAATAATAAATAATACCTTTGAGGCTTACAGGAGATGCAGCACTGTTATTTCAGTGGGAATAAAAAATTATGGTACTTTGCACATCTTGTCTTGTAAGGTACATTTTGGCACGGATTCTTAAACAGAACATCAACCATTTTCCGTTTATACGCGTGCCAATTTTCCACTGAAAAATTGTACTGCATCTTTTGGAATTTTGAAACACATAGGTTGAAGGAAAAAAATAGAACGGATGAAGCTATAAAGACTTTATCAACATAATCCTGTGGGTCTCCATTCTCTTTGTTGCTTTATCTGGATGTCAGTTTGTTTCTCTTATATTATTTAAGCCTATTTTCTATTCAGTTCAATTAGGTTACGTAGAAAGAAAATCATATTTATTAAACTTTAACAAATTGGATACATTGTATCCAGAAAGTTTCTTACCTTCTGAGCTAAGCTATTATTCATTTCTGTTACTGCAGTGAAAATGTATAAAAGCCGTCATATTCATCTATGTGACTGAGTATGCAGTGAGTGAGTATGCACCTTAAAAATCTGATTTTAAATTAACTCTATTTCCACCATTTAAGCAGCTGTTCTTTTCAACACTTTTCAGTTTGCAACAAATGCAAAAAACACCTCTTATGTCTTTGTACCAGATCAGGCACATTCTCGAAACTCTCTTCAGCAAAGTTTTTTTACAGACCTTTCCAGGCACCCACACAAACATTTTTTTATGGCAATTAATGTCATAAAGCAGCTGTAAGCAACCCTTGAAACAGTGCTGCAAAATTAGACCATCTGAAAACAAAAAAAAATGTCATAAGCACGTTTAAATAATTTCTAAATCCATACAGAAGTCTTTCCATCTTTAATGATAGACCCTGCTTTCTCAGTGCTGGATTTGGGCCGGGCCCCTTGTTTTTCATGAGCTGTATTAACCCTGTTTTGTTCCACTACAGTCCCTCCTGAAGCAGGGCTGCTTGTCCTGGAGGGCTGAGGGTTACTCTTGCTGTTGTAGGTCTGAAAGGCCATATCCAGCTGCTCTTGTGCCACCCTTAAGTGCCTATGAAGGCTAGCCAGGTCTGAGGGTATGTTTTCATCTGGGCTAGTGCACTGCTGCTCCTGTGCCACATTTGCCAAGTTCTGCTCATGTGTGATTAGACTATTGGGCATCTTGTTTGGTTTTTCTGACTTCACTACTAAATTGTATCCTGGGGGAGAGGCAGGGATGTTCCTGGGATATGGGCAGCTGTAGGATGGGCGCTTGTCCTTGTTCCTCCTGTTGCGGATGATGTCTCGGATGGTGCCAATACCTAGATGGAACATCTCACACACGTTTAAGAACAGACAGAGGCAGCTAACCACATACATGATGAGAAGGAAGATGGTCTTTTCTGTGGGTCGGGACACAAAGCAGTCCACTTTGTAAGGACATGGATTCTTGGAACAAATATATGAAGGACTGACCCTAAAACCATACAGGAGGTACTGGCCAGCCAGAAAGCCTACCTCAAAAATTGCTCTTGCCAGAAGCTGTAACACATAGATTTTCATCAACCCTTCTTGCATTATTCTACGGCGGCCATCATGCTTCTGCTGCTCTCTGGTTGGTGGCTTGTGCTCTGGCTTGATCTCATGGACGTCCAGGGTTTCCTCATAGATCATGGGCTCCTCTTCTTCCTCCTCCAAGACTTCTTCGAGAGTATGAGTTGCTCTCCACTTGATGGCATGGGGCTTCTTCCGGAACTTCTTAAACTTCCTCCTCTCCTCTTCAGAACTGCGGGCAATTTTGTGAATGGCATAGCCTAGGTACATTATGGAAGGGGTGGAGATCATTATGATTTGGAAGACCCAGAACCTGACGTGAGAGAGAGGAGCAAAAGCATCATAACAGACGTTGTCGCAGCCAGGCTGCTTGGTGTTGCATGTGAACTTAGCTTGTTCGTCTGAGTAGATGGACTCCCCTCCTACTGCCGTGAGCACAATGCGAAAAATTATAAGCACGGTCAGCCACACTTTCCCCACGAAGGTGGAGTGGTTGTGGATTTCTTCCAGAAGACGGGTGAGAAAGCTCCAGCTCATGTTGGTCATAAGGGCTGTTCAACAAAAATCTGGAAAATAACAAATCAGAAAAGCAAGATCATAAAATTAGCAATGACTGATATTTTTTTTAAAGAAAACTAAAGGACTCAAATTATTAAAAGCAGAGTGGTGTGTGGATGGTATTTAGAAATTCTCCAAAATTCTGTGAAAATACTGACAGCTTTCATGCAACATTCATTTATCTTTGCAATAGTTGTTTTACATTCAAAAGGCTTCTACATGGAGTTTAATACTAATAGCAACTTGTGAGCACAGTTCTTTTGCAATTTATTTATTAATAAAGCACACAAAATCATAAAATGACTGATCACACTTTAAATTCAAATTCAATTGACTTTCTCACACTTTTGTAAGATCAACTGTGTAATCCATGACATACAGCGGTACTACACACATCCAGTTTAAAGACATTTTTTTTATTTAATTTTGCATTGTGCATAATTTTTCTTCAAAGGGTAGTGCTGTTCTTTTTAAATAATCTTTTCTTGCAAATACAGCAAATGAGAAACAGACACTTGCTTGGGTTTGTTGCCACAGAAGATTTCAGAGCTGCTGGTAAGATTATATTTAAGTAAATACAGTAAATGGATAATTAGAAACATAAAGGGCAACAATACCCTTTCTTTAGTGAACACTGAATTACAATACATGACATCTGTGTGTCAGTTAAGTTAGCTAAATGTGGTAGACAGTTCTTGCATTAGACAGTGACTTACTGCTTGCAATGTTGTATTTAAAAGGCCTATCTAAAATTTTAAAAAATCATTTATAATTCATATATACTTCCATATAAATTCTTGTTTACTAAGGCTTAGTGAAAATCTAAGTAGGCGGCACTGTGGTACAGCAGTTTGTGGAGTTTGTATGTCCTCCCCCTGTTCGTGTGGGTTTCCTTCAGGTGCTCCAGTTTCCTCCCACAGTTCAAAGACATACTGGTACTGTAATTAGCTCTTGAGAGAACTGGCCGATGTGTAAATGTGTCTGTGTGTGCCCTGTGATAGACTGGCATCCCATCCAGAGTGTACCCTGCTCTGTGCTTGTTGCTTGCCAGGGTAGGCTCCAGCTATTACTCTAAAAACTATTTTCGTTTTTTGGGTTAATAATATGGCTGTTGTGAGTGAGAAGGTATGAAAAAGGATTCCATTCAATCTAATGTATCATTAGATTTGTGATACATATGTATTACTATATGATATATGCTGTATATATGATGTATTGTTCTTTTCCAATTAAAAAATGAAGTGATTAATTGAACGTAAGCATAATTTAAAAGACACATTATAGTATTTACTTGGTGTGTGTCTTTGCCAAGCTGTTTTCTAATCAATAGAACAGAGAAATCTGTGTGATGTTTTAAATTAATTCTGTTACAGGTCCCTCTATAAGTGTTTTTCAATTACCATGAGCTGAAGATGTGATCTGACTCATGTTTTATTGTGAATTGGAGTGATTGTGGCAATTAAGAGAAAGACTACACCTATTTAAGTTAATTAGGCCTTTAAGATTACAAATTATATAGCATAGTCATATATTTTCAATTGGCAGATACTGTAGATCTTCCAAGAACTCCCAGTTACAGGGTAGTTCTTTGCATTTTCTTTACATGTAACATACCTTTTTGTTTTCTACATAGACATTTAAATATTAATTTGCCTCACTAAATGCATCCATATTGTATTTGCTTACATTTAAAAGGTTATTTTTAATTGTATTACTAATCTACATCAGCATTGTCTTTTGCTTTAGAAGAAAATAGTGCAGTGACTCTAGATCTTGTCAACTCCCTTATAACTAACTGACATGCTAGCTTTCAAAGCACACTTTTAGATAAAATTGAAATACAATATACTGTACAGTATATGGTTAAAAGCAGTATCTTACAAATTTTAAAACAACTGTGCCATAAAACTCAACAAACAAAGGTTTGCACAAAATTTCCACATGTGCTACATGGAATAAATATTTGAAATAAAAGTGGATACTTTAAAGCTTTAGAATGTCACTGAAAGTAAAATATATATAGTAGAAATAAAAATGACAAGTGATAAGAAACAAAGCAACACTTCCATAGCACAAAAGTAAAAGAAGTCATCAGAAACTGAATGAGAATCTAAACATTTTCAAATCTTTAATCCTCTGAATTTTATACAGACTCAAGCTCCCAAAATTTACAACTGAAACAACAGAACAGTTGTTTCAGCTTCTCTAAAGTGCTCCTATTTCCATTTACATTTTTAACTTATTACCTACTTTAAAAAGCTGGGAAGTTTCTAGATGGACACATTACTTAAAATAATGATGTAAAGAAGAGTGTTTCCAATTTGAATGAAGTCTTAAACTTTCAATTAAAAAAAATCTAAATAATGGCTTTGACTGAGCATTTTAGAACAATAACTACAGCACAGTGACTATACACAATCCTTAATAAGGAAAACTGACAAATTCAAAAGATAAATACAGAGCTTACCACAGTTGTTTCCAAAGAGAAGAGATTACAAACTCAAGTGATGGAATTTAAATTTAGGAAGTTCTGCCTACTGAAATACCTTTTGGTCTCCACCTTTGCAAGTGTCTGCCAATTCTTTACATCTGAAATGTCTTGTCCAGACATGACTTTATGACTTGATTTTATGCTACAACAAAGCTGTCTTTGAAATTCCATCATCCTGCATCTGATTTGATTTTTGTGTCAACAGGTTCTTTGAATGTAATTTAAAATAAATGTCTATTATTTGTGGAAGAGGTATTCACAAATTCAATGAAAATAATAAAGCCAGTTTTTGCAAACTCACAGAATGACACAACAAATGTCCCATTACTGTAGGCAGTGAGTGGACACTAGAGGCAGTGGGGATGACTAGATCCCCAAAAAGAAATGCTCACACTCTCTAGACCACATAAGACATGTATCTTGGTGGCTTTGAAGTGGTACGTTTCTTCATAAACAACCAACAGTACCCTCTACAACGTTTCAATGACTAGAGAATGACATGATTGTGCTTATCAACAAAAAGGTAGAGTGTTAAGATTTACCAAAAAAACAAGTTTAGTACATTTACATAGAAAATGTTTTCAGAATAGATGTCTTAACTTTAGTTTTTGACACCTATAAAACAAGCCTCCGTGTATCACATCTGTTGTTAGTGATCATTACACTCATCCACCAAGAAGTCATATTTTGTGGTATAGTGCACTTCAGTTACAAATGAATGATAACACTGTCCTACACCATTCATAAATCATAAAAAAAACATTTATTATTTACTGGTATGTATGGCATGAATGCCACAACAGATGTACCAGTTACACATTGTGCGCATTTGTTATTTAGTAATACACCTTTCTCATATTCAGGTTATTAATAATATTTTTTTAGTTTACAGGACATGCAATTTTAATGAAACTTACTGTTATGGAAACACAGTGTGACTACAATAATAGTTTATATACTGTATATGCTGTATACCACACAAAAAAGGCGAAAATAATCTAGTCTTTATATGTGACATTTTAAACTAAGGGACACCAATAAATCATTGTTTCTTTTGTTCTTCTTTAGGTGAGTTAAAAAAAATCTCCTAGAATTATTTAAAACAAGTACAATAATTATATTTCTAATAGTTCTTTAAAAAGTAAGTCTCTCAGACTCTGGTGCAATCCAACCAAAATGACCATTATAATTGGGAGTTCAGTTCGGGATAACATGTTTCCACTAGCTAGAAGGAACAAGGCTTCTTTTAATAAACATTTAAATGAGAAAACTGAATACATTTCCTACAACACCCAAATTGGCACTTCTTTTTAACTTTTCTTATGTTCTTATATCCTTAATGGACAGTTTTGGTTTTAAAAGGCCTTAGTACTGTATGTGTCAGTACAATATTATTGGTAGAATTTGACATGAACCACATGAAAACAGCAAGGTAGCAGATCTTAATTAAAAGAATACATAGTGAAATGGGTAGTTCTTCACATTCCTTTTCCTGCCTGATAGTACTTTGAGGTGATACACGCTTTGTGTATTTGGGTTCTAATATTACAGCTCAAGGCAAATTAATTAAATTAGAATTGCATGCAGTTTAAGCTCTTTCATTGTTGCACAAACCAGAATATAATGCTTCTTTGTGTATCACATCTTTAAGATGAGGGCTTGTTCTGGTGGTTCTTCTTTGCATTCTTTATACTGTAGGTCAGCAACTGTTTGTATAATGATAACCAAAACGTTGTACAATATTCTTTTGTAGATGTTACAGGGACATGAGTGGTGGTGTGGTTTGCTGCCAGATTGATGTCTGGCAGGTCCAGGGTCCTGGATTTGATTAAACTGTTCTATCAGTATAGCAGTAATGTTTTCCCAGTGTTGGAGTGGTTTTGGAGTTTTAATTTCTTTGCATTGGCCAAAGATTTGCCTAGGCGTATTGGCTATTCTAAACCCAGGACTTTTCACTTGCACCCACTATTTTATATATTAAAATTATACGTTCATAACACATTCATAGCCTTACATATGTAATGTAGAATGTAAGACAAGTAAATTTTTTTGAGTTAGGAATGATTAAAACCATGTTATAAAGTTTTAAAAGGCACATATTCAACATAACTAAAACATTTATAGTCTTTAAATGTTTAAAATGATAATGACAGCATAATAACAATTTTAAATGGAAACATAAAGTAATGCCTGATTTTTGGCCATCCAGTCTGTATAATATTTACAGTATTCTTCCTTTTTCCAAAAAAATTCTGTGAGATTATTTTCTTGATATATGTTAGAATGGCCTACTTTTTTACAACATTACTGCAAAAGAGTTAAAAAAGGATCCGTTATAAAAAAAATAGCAAGATTTGCCCTGTTTCAGAAAAGTAATCCATACTTTGTATTTACTGTTACTCCGTTGGCATGAAGACTACATGTGTTTATTGAATGCAGGAATGTGCTGGAGTTTTACCAGGCATCAATACCAATAGAGAAAGACACTCTTCATTAGTTCCATACAAATCTTAGTCT